GAGAAAATTCTACATCACAGATTTTATTATTTTGGCATGCACACTTTTAAAAGGTTGTCCACCCCTGACTATGCAATGCATGCATAACAATGCAGAATGTTGAATGAAAAATTTGAGAAACTTTTATATCTTTTTCAGCTTTGTCTCAGAATACAAGTACTAAATTATAAGAATGAAAGGAAAACAGAACTTTATTTTAATTTCAATTTAACGATTTTTGTTCTATTTCTGAGTAGTTTAAATATAATTAAATGGTATTTTCTAGAGACTACAAAAACTAAAAGATCTGTTAGATTTTGACACTTAGCATGATTAGATTTTTGGTTTGAAGTGCTAGAATTTTTGTATTATAATTTTAATGCTTCTTCCAGATAACTTTTTAATACATACACAATTCATTTTTAAAAAATTAAATAAACAACATAATATTTATGTGGTATTGATTTTTAATATAAAAAAACTAAGTACAGTCAAACCTCAATATAATGTACTCTTATACAGACTGAACTTCATAAAGTACTACAGAAACTTACCATTAAACTCTTGAAGTGCCATCATTTCTCATGTTGGTCAGTCATGTAAGAAGCTTGTGAGGGAATCTTTCTCATTATTGTTGAATTGAAAAAACTTTTCAGTAACTGTGATGATATCTGAAAATAGTTATACACATTACATTTTTAAGAATAATTAATTTTTGTGTACTGGCACAATGAAGTGACGTTTTTCTCAACACTGGGCTAGTTGAATCTTTTATTTAGTTAGTTCATTCTTCATTGTGCCAGTACACAATAAGCAAATACAACACGGTTTCGACAACATCAATAATTAATTTGTTCAATAAACTGTAGTCAACTTTTACATTATTATTGCTTATGAAACTTAGAAAGTATTAAAATTATTGTAATTTTCAAGTTTTATAAGTAACAATATAAAAGTTGACTATAGTTTATTGAAAAAATTAATTACTCTTTAAAATGTAGTGTGTATAACCATTTTCAGATATAATTTGATTTTATTTTTTGCTTTCCTGGCTAATGTTATGTATAACAGGGGTAAAGTATAGCAATTGGTTAAAAAAGATTTTTACATTTTGGACTGGGGACCTTGAAATGTCAAAATGCAAAAATCTTAGGATGTTAGCATATGTGTGGTGCATGATTTTCTTCACCCACTTTGAAGCTTAATAACTCTTGTTCTTTTTGTTAAAAATTTCTGAAATTTTGCAGGAAGATTTGTGTATTAGGGGGATTGATACTATTAAATATTGGTGGTTAAAGGTCAAAGGGGTGGGGAGATAGAGGGTGGTCGTATATCATATCTAGAGTAGGTTCAGACAGGCACACGTATTTGTAAAATCTAAGTGACTCGTACAACATGGAATTCATATGAAACGGAATTATCAACAATGTTATAGGGGGGTCGACTGTATATCAATGATTTATTAATGATAGAAACTAACATGGATTTAATATGTTAATTTATCCTAATGTAAAGTACTGTACATTTGATAGCAGTAGTGTAATGAAAATCAAAAATAATATATTCTTGCAAAATAAACTATAAAAGAAACTTTTGGATTCAAGTACAGTAGACCCCCCCTATAACACTGTAGATAATTCCTTGTTATATGAATTCCATGTTGTACAAGTCACTTAGAATTTACAAATACGTGTGCCAAGCTGTGAACGGCTCACATATTTGTAAAATCTAAGTGACTCATACAACATGGAATTCATATAACATGGAATTATCTAGTGTTATAGGGGGGTCTACTGTCAGTCGACCCCCCCCCGTTTTATATGAATTCCATGTTGTACGAGTCACTTAGATTTTACAAATACGTGAGCCGTTCACAGCTCGGCACACGTATTTGTAAAATCTAAGTGACTCGTACAACATGGAATTTATATAAAACAGAATAATCAACAGTGTTATAGGGGGGTCGACTTGTAGAATGAAACAAAATTTTTTTTTCTGTGTTTCCTTGTAGGAAAAAAGTTTTTTTTTTTTTTTATTATGGATGTTTTATCATCATTAGAACCAAATAATACCAGAAATTTCTAAGGTTTGTTACCATTCTGTACATTTTCAGGAGAATATACCTATTTAATTAATGAATGCAGCATACATGTGGTGATCCTCAAGGTTTTCAAACTTTTACGTAAATGTTATGTAAAATTTTTTTAACATAACATTTAAAATTTTTAAATATAAAAACATTTGGGAACACTGCATGTATCCTGCATTTGTTTCAAATATTACTGAGAGCTGAAGTTGGTCCAAATAAAGGTCCAAAAATGTTTCTCCATTAATTAAACTTTTTCCTTAAAAACTGTTTTCTTCATAATAATATTGAATAATACTTACACTGTGCCTTAACATGTTAAGCATTTGATTAAATTTGTATTAATTAAATAGGAATATATTTATTATAGTCCGGAACAATAATGTTTTCACATTGTTAGAGAAAAATAATAAAAAAAAATAGTTTAGTAACATAATTGACAATATTTCATTAATTCAATTGTTTTTTTTGTATCAGGCTATAATTTATATATTATAGTGATTATATTAGTTTTTGGTAAATTCTTAATAAACACAAAATTTAATTATTTAATATATAGCTGTTGTGTTAATTTAACATTGGTTAATGTAATCATTTAGCAAAATAGATTACACAATTAAATTCCTTTTGTTCTGCAAAGACTAAATGACTATTTCATGTTTATTACAACATATCCAATTAGCCTATATAAATTACATTATTTTAAAAATGAGTTTCAGAAAAATTATTAACATTTATTCTGAAAATTTATAAAAAGTTCAAAAAATAAACTGCTTTCTTTTATGTTATTTATTTTGATAATTTTATATTGTTGGAATAAATGTTTAATTGAAATATCAGCTGTTTTATAATCTATAGCAGTTTGTATTACAAAGTTAATTGTTAGATATTTGTTACATTCATATAGCATATTGTTTAGTGATAATCCAGCAATTTATAAATTAATTTGCTAATTAGTTACATTAAAAGATTGTTATTAAATATATTATATCATTTTTAAGTACATTATTATATTTGTGATAATATTCTTACTGTAAATGTATTAAAAAACTTGTATTTAAAATTTTTTAAAATATTTTTTGACAGGTTACCTTTATATGAAACATTATATAGGAAGGAAATAATAATATATTTTGTCTGAATTTACTTCATTTTATTTTTGCTATTCATGTGTTCTCAATAGCAATAAAGAATGACAGATATCATAATGACCAAGTAAATTTTACAGTTGGCAGTTTTACAATTTACACTTTTATTAAATGTCAATAACTGATTATAAAATGTTTATATCAATGAAAACAAAATTAAATGATGGATGAAATAAATAGATCATTACTAAGTCAACATAGTTTGTATTGCTGGCTTGAATAAACTAGAAAGATTCAGATGATCAGTACTGGTTTTGTTAACAAAATAGAATTTTTCTATATAGGAATTTTATAGCTATAATGAAGAATGTAAGAAAAACATAAAAATATGCTTCAAATTTTTAAACTTTTTGGTTTTGGAAAACCTCTAAAATTTTAAGTTCTTTGATTTGCATACTGTTTTTCTAACTTTGAACTACAGTATTATGCATGTGTTCAGATAACTTTCTTAGATAATTTAGTTTTTAACTAATTCCAATGACTTGTAAAAATTAAAAATAATAATTTGAATAAATATTTTTATTGAAATAATAATATAACTTCAAAATTTTGACATTTTTATCATTAAATTTATTCCGAATTATGTATAATTTAAACTGTATTGAAAGTACTCGCATTAAATAAGAATTATTAATATTATGATGACTTATATGTTATGCAAGCTTCTTTTTATTAATGCAGTATTGACTTTCAAATTAGTTAAATTATTTAGGATGACAAAATAACAGCATCTAGGCCTATATAAGAAATTTTGAAAAATCAGTGAGCAAATATAAAATTGATTTTTAATTTTTTAATTCATTTAGTAATAAAGATAGTGTATTTATAATATGCTATGAAGAAAAATTCCAACAGAATATTTTATAGTAATTATACTATTTTAAAGGGTAAAAATATTATTGCTGAATTAAATTAAAAAAAAACTTTTAAAAATTCAATAAAACATTGTTTAATCATAGGTTGTTTTGCACATGATTGTTTCTTACCTCTACCATGTTTAACGGACATCATCATTAGTCTGGTGATGACTGTTGAACAAGGATAAAAATATTTGCTTTCTCATAATTTCTTTTTGCTGGATCTTGGTTATTTATGCAGTGTTTATTAATGTATATCCAGTTTTGCGTAGTTAAATTTTAATATTTTAGAAGTTACAAATATTACAAATAAAACAAGTAGTTGAATGAAGAACGGGTGCTTTTGTGATTTAAAGAATACTTATTACCACGTATTCTTTAAGCAGATATAACTTATTTTCCTAGTATTTGACTTTAACTCAAAACTGGAATGGATAATTGTAACTATTGATATAAAAATGTTTATAAAACAAGCATGGAAAAATCAAACTTAGAGTACACTAATACATTTATTAAAAGTTACACATGCAACAGAATATAATATTAGATTATTGAGTTGAATGTATTAATATCAATAGTTGCTATTTGGAGAGTAATAATTTTCTGTGCAGTTATTTTATATACAATAAAATTTTATGTTTTTAATATGACGATGGTGATAACTGAACACAGATAATCATTATTATGGAAATTTATAAGATTAAAGTATTCATGGGTATTCATGGCCATTAAAGTCATTTATAATGTAATCAATCAAATTCTTTTTCATCCTTAAATTAAAATTAGAAAATTTTAAAATAACTTATCATGATAATTACCAATTATTTTAACCAAAATCTTTAGTATTTATTACATTATAAAAGTGTTTTTGTTTTTAGAGTTCAGAAGTTCTCTAAAAAAACTTTATTTTTTTTATATATATATATATAGTTTCACCAAGTCAGATTGAAAGATTGTATAGCCGATTTACAAATTTAGACAAAGGAGATAATGGTACATTAAGGTAAGAAAATATTTTTTATATATTATGTATATATTTATATATATAATTTATATTCTAATTTAATTGTTGAATTACAGTTTATTTTAAAAATAGGAAAGTTATATATTGATATATTAATTTATGTTAATTCTTAACCTGGTGCTCACAGGCACTGCAACACTTCTTGTTATTATCATTTAATTGTTTGTTTGTGATCAATGTCTCTTCCGCTCTACTCGTAGGACTCGCCTCTCTTCTCATTATCAAAAATTAGCAGCCAGACATATGATTTTGTTATATCTTTCTCAGTATTTTCTTTTGATTTCATTAAATTTATTTACATATATTTAAAATGTTTTTAAGCATAGTAAGTACTGTACTTAGTTATGGATAATTATAGTTGACAAATCACTTGAATTTGATTGATGGTAATTTCCTATAAATATTAGAAATTTACAACATTTCTCTTCATAATCAAGTATCTCACTAAGAAGTATTAAATATGTTTCTATAAAACCTACATGTTTCAATATGTTTAATGAAAATTATTTAAGTACTTAAAGAAAAGTTCAGCTTGATAAAAAAAAAAATATATGTAGTGTAGGTTATATGTAGACTTTTTGCAACTCTGGAATGTGTCAAAAGATGCTTGCTTAGAGAAGTAAGAATAGTTGCTTTAAGATTATAAATTTTCAATAATTAGTATAAAAAATCAGTTTGTTTCTTTAGAATTAATTTTAGTAAAGACAAAAATCTATTTGATTATAAAAGGGATTCAAAACAATGTTAAATATTTTTGTAAATTGATCAGAAGAAACAAATTTTGTAATTAAATTAAAAATTCTGAACATTTTAAAGACCTGTATATATTCTGAAATTATTAATTATATACATAGATATAAAATAAATTTTACCAAAGATAAGATATCTTCACAGACTTTTATATTAAAAAATTTAATATATTTAAAATCAATAAAACTACAAAATATTATATAAAATGTATAAATAAGTAATGATGTATTGTGTGTGTGTTTATTTTTTTGTTTAATTACAAAGTTATAATCATGTGGTAAAATATATACATTTAATCAGACTTATTGAGTAATATATATAAAATTATGAATATATATGTAATTAATATTAAAAAAATTGTTTTTAGTCGAGAAGATTTTCTTCGCATTCCAGAATTAGCAATTAATCCCTTAGGAGATCGTATTGTTCATGCCTTTTTTTCTGAAGCTTATGATGATGACCGTATAAATTTTCGGCAGTTTATGAGAGTGTTATCCAAATTTCGTCCAATTAAAAAAAATAAAGAAAATAAACTTAACAACCGACTGGAAAAATTGCGATGTAAGTTTCTAGCTGTACTTTATATATATATACACAACACACGTACGTACAAATATTTAAATTATGTTTCTTTTAATTTAAATAGTTGCATTTAAGATGTATGACCTTGATGATGATAATAAGATTTCAAGAGATGAATTATTAGCTGTTTTACACATGATGGTTGGTGCAAACATTTCTGAAGAGCAGGTAAATTAATGTATAGTATGTCCTTTAGATATTTTGTTTTAAAGTAGATTAATGGTGTTTAAAACTGCAAAGACTTTATTAATAGGCCTAATTATATAATTTTATTAGAGAAATCTGGAACTTCAAATAATGCAGACTAAGTTAAGATGTAATCACTTAAAATGTTTACTTTTATTGCTTAAATTTTTATTAAATACAGTGATGGCTCGTATAACGTACGCCTCGAACAATGGACACTGCGAATAACGAACTTTCTGTTTGGCCGTTATGTGACTCGATCAACGGACTGGCTGCGGACAACAGACTTTCCATTCGGTAGTTACGTGAGCGACTGATGGACTTTCTACGAACAAGTGCGAATGATGTTTTCACTCTTTTGCCGTTGCCAATGACAATCTGCTATTTTTATAATATATTAGTATTATTAGAATATATTATCAGTATATCTGAAGTACAGAGCTCCCGTTGGGATTAGGCTTGCTCCCTTGTTTATTACATACATCACCTCAGTGCAGGGTATTTACATTTATTCAAGTGTTGTGCAAATCATGGCTTTTAAAAAAAACAGAGAAGTGATTTCAATTGAAACAATGCAAGAAATCATCAGAAGGAATGAAAATTGACAAAAACTTCCTTGTCGAATGGGGAGAGGTTCAAAAGTTTACCAACACTCATTGTCCAAACAGAGCTGAGGCCAGCAGTATCAATGATCTCTACAATGACACCCTTGCCTGTCATTTCTGACAGGTGTTGAAGAAGGGAAAGAAACAGACCACCTTGGACATATTTTTCAAGAAGCAAGCTGCCAAAAAATATAGGATGGAACAAGAGGAGTTGACCCTGCAAGCTTCGGTAGCCTCTCCTGAATCTGACTCCGATTAAAAAACAATAAAAAGAGACCTGCTGCAATGTGTAAAAAGTCTGTATCTGTATGAATGTGTGAATAAAGTGATCCTCTACCTTCTCACAACATCTTACTACCCGGCATAATTGGTGACTGCTCCATTTTAATTTTTTTATGGTACGGTTATTCTATGCTGTGGAACGAATTATATGTTTTAACATGTATTTCTATGGGAGAATGCGTTTCATATTTTTCCCATAGAAACTTTTCACTTAACGGACGTGCACCTGGAACAGATTAAGTACGTTATACGAGGCACCACTGTAATAAATCTATACATATTCCATTAATTGGTTATTTTATTAATACATATATTGATGAATCTTATGTGATTTCAGTAATAGAATTTGTAAATTCATAAAATTCTATAATTTTATTTTCAATTGGAATAATGTAAGCTTTAACTTTGGGATGACATTCTCATAAAAAAAATTTTTTTAGGATTGTTATTATTATTATTTTGTGCCAATTATATTGCAGTAAAAACATATACTCAGATTAAAGTTTTATGTATGCAAATTTTGTTTTTAAAAACATTTCAGTGTTTCCCCAGGATGTTTTTGTTAGGTGCCTCACCTGGACAATTTTTCTGGCTGCCCAGTTGATAAACTTTGAGATACATATACATAAACATACAAAACAAGTTTTGTATTCCTCATGTAGTTTATTCCAAATTTTAACATATGTTTACTAGAACATATTCAAAATTTAAACAACTGTGTTATTTTGAAAAAATCATTTAAGATTGGATTACTGGAAAAAAGCAATGCAACATATGGGACAATCTGTCAGATAGGGATCAGTTTCCCATAAAAAGTTCTCCCAAGAGTACTTCTTGGGAGTACTTTTTATGGGAAACTGATCCCTATTTAGCTGTTAGATACAAAGAAAACCCATAAAATGTACATGTCAACCTGTTAGTAAGGTATGAACCCACAACCAATTACTAGTGTTCAGTGGTTTTATAAATAAATTAAGGATACATTTAGTAGAAATTCTACTTTTATTAGCTCTGACAGATAAAACGACATGTTAAAACATTTAATACATCTTCAAAAATACAATTCTGTTAATTAATTAATTAATAATTAAAAAATGTTAACTTGAAATTCTTCTCAGATGATAGATTTATTATTATTTTAAAATTATTTCAAACTAGGAACATAATATTCTTTTCCATATATGAAAGATGCTTTGTCTTCTGTATGGTCCTCAGTCAATTAGAAGTATAGTTAGATCTAAATACATTAATAATGTCTTCAAGTGTATCTTGAATTGTATATCTAGATTATTGTTAGGAAAAGAATTAAGCATTATTTTAAAAAACACATGAATATATTGTCACGGGAACAAATGGCAATCAGTCGTTAGGAACACAAAGGTATTTATTCACTCAGACAATGTACAACTACTGCAGCTTGCAGTACGAGAACAAGAACCGCTCTCAACCTGAGAGCTTGCTGTTATATACTACAGAGACATGGTAGAGATATGTAAATACTAACAAATTACCATGTGTTCTCAGACTGGGAGAACATACCCATAGAAAAAAGAACCTGCATCAATGAGGTTTGAACTGGAGACCTTTGCTCGATAGGCGAAGATGCTAACCCCTATGCCAGGAACAATATGGTGGGAAGACCGAGCCATGGCATTATACCCTTCCCCCAAAAGATGGCGCCCTGCTGTTGTTTAGGGATGCACTGACGGCAAGATTATCGACATCACTGGTAGATTCAGGGTCTTGCAGACGGGGATCACAATAGGGCTTCATGCAGAGGACATGAACAGTATCCTTTGGCTTCCTTCGTTTGGATGTAGGATCGAAATCCTCGACTTCATAGGTAACCTTCAAAGCATCAAGGAATTTGTACGGACCAAAGTAATGCTTAAGAAGCTTTTCAGACAGACCCATCTTGCACACAGGTGTAAATACCCACACAAGATCACTAGGATTATACGATATGGTTTGATGAGCAGCGTTGTACTGTCCTTGATCTTTCTGCTGGGCCATCAATGTACATACACAAGCCAATTGTCGCGACTCCTCAGCCATGCAACTAAGTGGCCGAGGTAATCATCGGGTTGATCGTTGGCTTGATATGGGAATAACTTGTCCATTGTTGTCTCGTCTTCACATCCGTGGAGTAAATAGAATGGAGTGAATCTGGTAACGTCCTGCTTTGCTGTGTTATAAGCAAAAGTGACGAAGGACAACACTGAGTCCCAGTCTTTCTGCTCAACATTGACATACATAGACATCATATCGGTTAATGTCTTGTTAAAGCATTCGGTTAAGCCATTTGTCTGCGGATGGTATGCTGTCATCATGCTGTGTGTTACCTGGCAGCACCGAATAAGTTCAGCCACAAGATGGGACTAGAAAACTTTTTCTCTGTCGGTGATGAGTACTCTTGGGGCTCCATGCTTCAACAGGATTTTTTCAATAAGGAATCAAGCTATTTCTCGGGCTTCAACTGTTGGCACTGCCCTGGTAGCGGCATATCGTGTGCAATAGTCAGTGCAGACCACAATCCATTTGTTGCCTTTGAGAGTTTTTGGGAGTGGACCAAGTAAATCCATGCCAATTTGATGAAAGGATGCTATTGCTGGTGGGATGGACATAAGGCGACCAGGAGGTTTCTGGGGTACCTGTTTCCTTCTCTGACATTTCCGACGATGGGAGACATAATGCCTTACTGTACGGTATAGCCTCGGCCAAAAGAAGCGCTTTTGAATTCTGTTGTAGGTTTTAGTGAACCCTAAGTGACCAGCCGTAGGAACATCGTGGAAGTGTTGCAGGATGTCCAGGCGCAAGTGGTTGGGGATCACGGGTAACAGTCTCTTTTCAGTCAGGTCATAATTTTTCTTACAAAGTATGCCATTGATAAGTTCAAATTCTTTTTTGATAGGCTCAGACCTCTTGAGAGCACGAATTACTGCTGCCAATTTTGGATCCTTCCTCTGATCAGCAGCAACATTCGTGAGTGTGGCAACTAAGCCAGCTGCTGTAGAAGTTTCAGTCTCTATGGGATTTCTCGAAAGGTAGTCTGCATCTTTATGTTTTCGTCTGCTCTTATAACAGATGGAAACATTGTATTCTTGAAGTCGTAAGGCCATCTGACGAGCCTTTCCAAGGGATCCTTTAGTTTAGCCAGCCAGCATAATGTGTGATGATCTGTTACCACAACAAATGGTTTACCGAAGAGATAGGGCTGGAATTGGTGGATTGCCCATATCACTGCGAGACATTTCCTTTCTGTTGTTGAATAATTCTTTTCTGCCTTGGTAAGTGTCCGGGATGCATGAGCAATTACCTTTTCTTCGCCATCTAGTGTTTGGATTAGGATCCCCCAATCCTGTAACCACTGGCATCTGTGTGGAGTTCTGTTGGCGTGTTCTCATTGTACAACTCTAATATAGGGTTAGAAGTAAGCGCTTTTTTTAAGGTAGCAAAGGAATCAGCCTCTAGTTGACCCCAAGTGAATGTGGACTCCTTTTTTAGTAATTGCTGTAATGGTTGCACTTTGCAGTAGAAATTTTTAATAAAGTGGCGGTAATAGGAACATAGACCCAGGAAACTTCTTACATCCTGTGCATTTGCTGGAGTAGGGAAATCGGTGACTGCTCGTAATTTCCCAGGGTCTGGTCGTATCCTATCTCTTGATATAAGGTGTCCAAGAATCTTGATCTGGTTAGCACCAAAGACACTTTTTCGGATTCAGGCGGAGGCCTGCATCCTGTATGCAGCCTAGAATGGCTTTTAACTGCACCAAATGATCTTCAAATGTTTCGGAAAACATGACTATATTGTCAAGATAACATAAGCACATAGTTCACTTTAGATGGTGCAACAAGTTATCCATCATTCTCTCAAACATAGCTGGCGCATTGCATAAACCGAATGCCATGACTTTAAATTTATATAACCCCTCTGGTGTAATGATGGCGGTTTTCTCTTGATCATGTTCATCAACCTCAATCTGCCAATACCCTGAATAAAGGTCCATTGGGGAAAAAAATTGGCTCCTCGTAAGCAATCTAGGGTATTGTCAATGCATGGCAAAGGGTAAACATCCATTTTTGTGATCTTATT